AGGGTGCATGAACCGCCCAATGCAGAGCTGCCGCATGTCACCCCCTCCCCAAAGAAAAAGTGTCACGCCCCCTTCCCCACCCACCCTTTCACCCCCCATCAAAATAAAATTTCCTTTTCATTTAGAAGTTGCCTCCAGTTTGTGGGCTGAGAAGGGGTTTGGGGGGCATCGCGGAGCCAGGACATTCAAGAGTAAAGGTGGTTTTAAAATGGTAAGGATCCTGGCACAGTGGCAAAAGCCAGAAATCCCAGCACTCGGAGTCTGAGGAAGAAGGACCATAAATTCATGCCTAGCCTCAGCAATTTAGTGACTTAGCGAGATGCTGTCTCAAAATAGAAACGAAGGGCTGGAGATTTAGCTCAGTGATCCCGCCGCCTGCCTCGCAATTGCAAGGTCCGGAGTTCGATTCCCGGTACCAACGAGAAAAGAAAAAAGAAATGAAGAGGTGAGGATGTATTAGCTCAGGGCGAAGGCCTAGAGTTCAATCTCCAGTAGCAGCACCGACCGGACCGGAGAGGGGCGAAGTCCTGACACCCCACCCCCACCCCGCTGGGATGTGTCTCAGTTGTCTCCATGACAAACAGCGGGCCCATCACCCCTCACCGAGACGTCCAGCAGGCAAGAGTGTGGGGAATTTGGACCCTACAGACATGGTGAGTCCCACCCACTGCGCCACTGGCCCCAAAGCCTCCTTGCTAGCCGTGTGTTCTTGGACAAGTGGCTCTGCCTCTCTGAGCCTGATTCTGCTGTCCCTCAAGGGCGGTGGAGGCGCGGCTTCTACCCACAACGTACTGTCCGGGGCGGGAAAGCAGTGACATCCCGCCTCCGAAGTGCTCAGGGTGGGGACAAACACGACCCTCAGCAGAGCCCCGGCACAAACGGTCGTTGTCGTTTATTTCCTGCAAAGCTAGGACATTTGGCCTTGAGCGCAGCCACCTGCTGGCACTCGTGGTTTAGCTTCGGGCGAGGGACGATGCTTCCCAAGCCTCAGTCTCCCCATCTACACAATGGAGGGGACACCTGGGGCCGCGGGAGAGGGCGCGACGCTGAGATCCGAACCGGCGGCCCTGCCCCCAGGAACACACAGAGCCGCAGGCGGGCTCCACTCGGCGGACTTTATTTCGCCAGCGCCTGGAGGTTGCTCGAGGGGAGCCGC